TCTTTCTGGGTTTAGTGTTCATTCATAAAGCGTATGTGCTGTTGTGATCAGTCAGCCATCAGTAGTGTTTTCTGTGATTGAGATTGCAGAAAATATGCAAAACTAGGGTTAACTGAAACTTGCAAAGTGCAGAATTAAGAGGCAGGATTTGAATGCAGTTCAGATACTTGAGCTAGGGGGTGAAAAGACATATCCCACTGAAAAAAATGCTTTAAAGACAGAAATAACTGCTGTTTCAGCTTCTGATTTTTCAGAACAGCCAGTTTTCATTGACAACTTGCTGTTTTCAAAATGCTCAAAATGGAGCTCTGAACTAATGGGAAGAAGCTTTTAGCATGAATGTCCTCCCAGGGTTAAGAATGGCATTTACAGAGGCAAACCCTGCAAATATAGCTGCTGAGAGATGCTGATTTTCTGCATGTTGCTATAAGACTGCCATTAAGATCTGTAAGGGGAGTACAATAAAGAGGGCTTGAAAAGTCAAGCAAACATCTTCCAAGCCCGAAATCTATTTAAGCTCAATGATTTATTCTGCAACTCTAGTGCCTTCATCAGAACTGTTTAATAGCTGACTAGTGCCAAACACTAGATAGCACATGAAATGGAAATCAGTTAATGCTGTAGATACCAGGTTGTTGTCAGGGCTGAGGGGCTGTGGCCAGCAGCCCGGGCATGTGGGCCGGGGAAAGGGTCGGCACGGCGAACTAGAATTAGGCATGGACGCGTAGAGGTTGATTAAAGATTATTTTACTTACACCGTAGGTGGTCGCGGTGCAGGCAGGAAAACTTTCTTGAGTTGCAGTTACAAAAAAAACCACACACGTGGAGTTTGCTAGGCTCCGTGGCCCGTCCGAAATGAGAGTCCGAAAGGTGACTCTCCACGAGCGCGCAGGGTAGGGTATGTCGAGGGATCATGCGGCGACGGGGAGAGGCTAGAGGTTGATCAGGCCCCTGTATCCTCCTTTAAGGCACACGCGGAGTTTGTTAGGCTCCACAGTGGGCTTAGAGTTCTTCACAAGATGGATGTGAAGTCCTCCTCCTCCAACTTGGGTGGAAACTGCTCAAGCCTCTTATATGGCTAGCAAGCCAATCGCTAGCCGCCACGTGGGAATAATTTAGAAACAGCCAATAGTGGGAAACAAATTTACATATGGGTGGCGGGAACTCCTTTGCACCGGGGGTTTCTCTTTGCAACTGAGAATTGCACCCTGCAAAAAAAGCTCCATGTGGCGGGAAATAATTCTGCAGTGCCGAAGCACACACAAAATCATACCCTTTAGTATGACAGTTGTCTCAATTTTAAAAGACTAATTAAATGATTGTAGCCATTGGTAATGTTCTGGTGAATATTAATACTGTGTTTCCTTCTTGATCAGTTTTCGGTAGATACTCTACAGTTCCTGCTGTTCTTGTACGTTCAGCAACTAAACAAGGTTTCTCTGAGGACATCTTTGATTGGTGAAGAGTGGCCAAGTCCTAGGACCAGATCCCAGTCTTCCAGTTTGATTGGAAAATCCACCTGTCAAAACAAGGTATTGTGCTTAACCCAGTCCCCATAAAGGTTAGTATGTGGGTGAGGCTACAAAACCTCCACTACAAGCTAGCCCTGGGGGGGAGAAAGAGAGTTTGTGGAAGAGTGAACTCCTGCTTATGCTTTTCTTATTAACTCGTATATGCTGCTAGAGCTGCACCTCATTAATAGAGCTAATAAATAGTATATAATCTTGTCTTGGGATGTTCACTGTGATTCACATTTTAGAAATTTAAAATGTTATCAATGGAAATTTGTTGCAGGCTGAACTTTTACATAGTCTCAACCTATGATGAGTCTTCTAAAACCTTATGCCCAGAATCTCAGCAAAGCTAAAAATGTTCATGTATTGCAGAAGCTGCTCTTCCACAAATATACATTCAGATTTCTAGGGGGCCTTCTTTAGAGTGATGTCTAATTATACCCAGTTGTAAATCAGAGACCTAGACTGGCGAGTCAGATATGACTGTTTGTGTGTGGTGGATAAGTCCTATATCAAGTACTTCTAAACATAGGAAACTCGCTGGATATATCAAACCAGCTGCAATTCACAGGATGCTGTATTAGAAATTGAATTATGAAGTGGTGTCAATTCAGTAAAGACGCTTCAGTGACCCACACCTTGAACTAAGGCCAACTGCAAACTTCAGCAGAATTCTGTATGGGCTGTGATAATAGCACCATGCATACTGTAGCATCATGTGGAACTAGAGCTTATTATCTGCAGCTCGGGAACTCTTGAAACTCTAAACACAGTAGATTGGTAATGTTAGACAGACAGTTATAGAATCATAGAAAATTAGGGTTGGAAGGGAGCTCAGGAGGTCACATCTAGTTCAGCCCCCTGCTCAAAGCAGGACCATCCCCAACTAGCTCGTCCCAGGCGAGACTTCGTCTAGCCGGGACTTAAAAACCTCCAAGGATGGAGATTCTACAACCTCTCTGGGTAACCTGTTCCAGTGTTTTACTACCCTCCTAGTGAGAAATTTTTTTCTTAATATCTAACCTCAACTTTCCTTGCCGCACCTTGAGCCCATTGCTCCTTGTTCTGCCATCTGCTGCCACTAAGAACAGTCCAGCTCCATCCTCTTTGGAACCACCCTTCAGGGAGTTGGAGGCTGCTATTAAATCCCCTCTCAGTTTTCTCTTCTCCTGACTGAATAGTTGTACCTCAGCCTCTCCTCAGAAGTCACAAGCTCCAGCCTCTGAATCATTTTCATTGCCCTCCACTGGACTCTCTCCAGTTTGTTCACATCCTTCATGTAGTGGGGCACCCAAAACTGGACATATTACTCCAGGTGTGGCCTCACGAGTGCTGAACAGAGGGGAAGAATCACTTCGCTTGATCTGCTAGCAATACACCTACTAATGCAGCCCAGGATGCCATTAACCTTCTCGGTTATGAGAGCACACTGTTGGCTCATGTTCAGCTTCTTGTCTGCTATAATCCCCAGGTCCTTTTTTGCAAAGCTGCTGTCCAGCCAGTCAGCCCCCAGCCTGTACCAGCACATGGGATTGTTCTGTTCTAAGTGCTGGACTTCTCCTTACTGAATCTCATGAGATTTCTTTTGGTCCAATCATCCAATTTGTCTAGATCTTTCTGAATCTTAACCCTACCCTCCAGCATATCTATTACTCCCCCAGCTTGGTGTCATCTGCAAACTTGGTTAGGGTACACTCCATCCTATCTTCCAGGTCATTGATAAAACTATTGAACAAAAACAGCCCCAGGACTGACCCCTGGGGCACTCTACCTGATACTGGCTGCCAGTTAGGCATCGAGCCATTGATTGCTACCCTCTGAGCATGATGATCCAGCCAGTTTTCTGTCTACCATACATTCCATTTATTCAACCCCGTGTTTCCTTATCTTGCCTGTGAGAATGTTGTGAGAGACCATATCAAAAACCTTGCTAAAGTTAATGTACACCATGTCCACTGGTTTCTCTGTATCCACAGAACCAGTCGTCTTATAGAAGGCAATCATGTTGGTCAAGCATGACTAGCCCTTCGTGAATCTATGCTGACTGTTCCTAATAGCTTTCTTCTCCAAGAGCTTAGAAATGGATTCCTTGAGGATCTGTTCCATGATTTTTCCAGGGACTGAGGTGAGGCTGACTGGTCTGTAGTTCCCTGGATCCTCCTTCCCTTTCTTAAAGAGAAAGTCCCCCAGCCCCTTGGTTGCATCACACCTGGCCCCATAGACTTGTACATGTCCAGCTTTTCTAAATAGTCCCCAATGTGTTCTTTCATCACTGCCAGCTTCCCCAAACTGTGCTGCCTGGTGCAGTAGTCTGGGAGCTGACCTTGCCTGTGAAGACTGAGGTGAAAAAGGCATTGAGCACTTCAGCCTTTTATGCATCCTCTGTCACTAGGTTGCATCCCCTATTCAGCAAGGGATCTACACTGTTAACAAATAAAAGCTGGTTAACTGTTTTCAAAGCCAGTTAACAAATGAAATTCTGGACTAGCCTGCTAACTGTTAACAGATACAATTCTGGACTAGCCTAAAGGAGTGACACAACTCCTCATTCAATGAGTGACAGAAAGGCTTTATTTCCTGCAAGTTTTCAAAGTCAAATGAGCCCAAACCAAAGCAGTCCAGTAATTAGCTATAAGATGATGGTTTCTCACTAAACAGGCAACAAGAGAGATGGTCTGTTTCTTCCAGCTTCTTGAGATAGCAGGGGCATAGCAGCACTTCTTGTCAGAGAGATCTTTCATTCCTGAAGTGTGCCCTATTAGCTGTTCCAGCTTTTTGAAACCATTCTTGAAGTTGTGTAAATCAAGAGAGAGTCCCAAGGAGTATTTGACAGGAAAATCCTGTTAATCAAACTGCTTATTATTGATTATCAGAAAATTCCAATTTGAATGAATTACCTTCCTCAGTGACAAGGGGTTATCCATTTCTGCTAAGTTTAGAACATATCAAGAAACTGATTAACAATCAGGAAAAACACAAGGTTTTGGGGAGTGTCCGTGGAAAATCAAGGGACAAAACAGAAATAAATCAGAAGGGGACATCTAGCACATGGAAAATGACTCTTCCTGTACATAACATGAGTTAACTGCAAGAGAAGTATTTATCATACTAATTAATCAAGGATAAACATTTCACATGGTTACATACTAGACAGCTAGGAGCATACTTGAAATCATAATGAATATATTGAGATAAGCTGCAAGGGATATCTCACTATTTTTTCTCAGATGGCCTACCCGTGAACTCGCATCCTTTTGCGCTATGCAGTTAGCATCAGTATCTTGCATTTTACCTTTTGTGAGTAGGCCCCAGGTTAGCATGAGTTTCAGAGTCATCACACACTTTCCCTGATCCTCCTCTTGTTACCAACATACATGTAGAAACCCTTCTTACCCTGCATGTCTCTTGCTGGCTGCAACTCCAGTTGTGCTTTGGCCTTCCTGACTTCATCCCTGCATGCCTAAGCAATATTTTTATACTCCTCCATAGCTGTTTGTCCTAGTTTCCTCCTCTTATAAGCTTCCTTTTTGTGATTTAGCTCACTGAAGAGTTCCCTGTTAAGCCAAGCTGGTCTTTTGCCATACTTGCTAGTCTTTCTGTGCATTGAGATGGTTCGTTCTTGTGCCCTCAGTAAGGTTTCCTTATAGTACAGCCAGCTCTCCTGGACTCCTTTCCCTCTCAGACCAGCCCCTTAGGGGATCCTGTCCATCAGTTCCCTGAGTGAATCAAAGTCTCCTTTTCTGAAATCTAGGGTCCTTACCTTGCTGCTCTCCATTCTTCCTTTCCTCACGATCCTGAACTCAAACATCTTGTGGTCGCCGCTGCACAAATTGCCATCCACTGCTGCATTCCCCACTGATTGTTCCCTGTTTGTGAGCAGCAGGTCAAGAAGAGCATGGCTCCTAGTTAGCTGTTCCAGCACTTGCAGTAGGAAGTTGTCCCCAACACTTTCCACTCTGTGTGAAGACTTCCATTCTTCCTGCTCATTTTCTAGGCTTTGTGCATTCATGTACAGGCACGTGAGGTAACTAGCTGATTGCCCTAATTTCTCAGCAAGAATGAGAGTGCCTCCCCTGTTGCCCCCTTGTGCTTGTGCTTCCTCCATTGGGAAGGGTTTCCCCACTTACCTCAGGGCTTTGGTCTCCATCCGCTGGTGAACTTGGTTTAAAGCCTTCCTCACTAAATTAGTGAGCCTGTCTGCAAGGATGCTCTTTCCTGTCTTCATCAGGTGGATCCCATCTCTTCCTACCAGTCTTTGGAACATCATCCTCTGGTCAAAGTTGTATAACAGGGAGAAAAGGGTAAACGTACCAATCCTAAGGGCCTTTGCTGAATAGTCATCTTTTATACTTACTGGCTGGTGTATTATTCCCCTCTATTCAACACTGGTGTGGCCACATCTGGAGTTCCGTGTCTAGTTTTGGGTCCCCTGTTACAGAAAGGATGTGGACAAATTGGAGAGAGTCCAACAGAGAGCAATAAAAATGGTTTGGGGGGCAGGACACAACTTATGATGAGAGGCTGAGGGAACTGGGCTTATTTAGTCTAGAGAAGAGAAGACTGAGGGGGGATGTAATAGCAGCCTTCAACTCCCTGAAGAGTAGTTTCAAAGAGAATGGAGCTGGACTGTTCTCGGTGGTGGCAGATGGCAGAACAAGGAGCAATGGGCTCAAGTTGCAGCAAGGGAAGTTGAGGTTAGATATTAGGAAGAATTTTCTCACTAGGAGGGTAGTAAAACACTGCAACAGATTACCTAGAGAGGTGGTGGCATCTCCATCCTTGGAGGTTTTTAAGACCCGGCTAGACAAAGCGTTGGCTGGGATGATCTAGTTGGGGCTGGTCCTGCTTTGAGCAGGGGATTGGACTAGATGTGACTTCCTAAGGTCCCTTCCAACCCTCATTGCCTATGGTGCCATGATTCTATATCATTCTAAAGTTTTTGATTTTTGCTAAGTACAGGTTTATAATTGGACTGGCTTATATTTCAGTTCTTCATGAAAATACATGGGCGTTTCAAAACATAATGCCATTTTGAAATAGTCATTTTGTGTGCAGTGATTATTTACTGTCCCACGTCCCTTTGCTACATAGTTGCAGATGATGTGTGCCTTTGACAGTGCCACCCTCTGTGGTCACTGCTGCAGTGTAGTTACCCCACTCATTGCATGCACAAGGTTTTTGTTTCATAGATATTAGGGCTGGAAGGGACCTTGGAAGGTCTTCGAGTCCAGCCCCCTGCCCCAAGGGCAGGAAGTCAGCAGGGATCATAGGATCCCAGCAAGATAAACATTCAACTTTCTCTTAAAGGTGTTCAAAGTAGGGTGCCATCATGTCTGTTTGGGTTACCTTCGTGGGTCGGGGGCTATGTTTGTTGGGATTAGCCTTTTGTAAGCGACTGAAATGCCCCAATTATTATAAGTAATATTTAGAATGGTCATTGCAGGTATGTTTAATGCCTATTTGTAGTTGGGTAAAGCCTGTTCAGGGTAAGCTTATATAAATTAGAATAATTGTCTGTGGCTGCCATAAATTCTAATGTTCCCTTTTTCTTGATATGGAGACATTCAGTGCTGGAACTATGAGTTAAGCCTTTTGGAGATGAGCTTTTCCTCATCTGGACTGCATCGCTGGCTTCTCATGCAATCCCTTTGGAGTCGGTACCTTATTGTATCTGTTCTAAATATCCAGATACAATAAACTTGCAAGAGGACAGTTGTGGGCCTGGATTATCAAGTGTTCATTGATTTCCTCCCAACAGCAATATGCCCATGTGTATTTCAAGCATTGAATAGGGATCCATTTCCCTATCCCCTCTGACCAGTACAGTGAAATGTGCCTCTGGTGTGAACACCAGGGATGTGAATTCAATTTGGATTCGGATTCGGCCCGAATTGGGGACAGTGATTTGATTCGGATCACTGTCCCTAATTTGATTCGGCCAAATCCGAATCTGAAGATTCGATGCTGATTTGGAGAATCAGAAATTTGGACATAGACAAAGCTTTAAATGCTTTTTCTACATACCTCAAGGTACCAGTGCAATCTGTGAATGCTGCGATGCTGGGGCGGATGGAGCATCCCACAGGAGTGTGGTGGGGGCCCTCCATGTGCTCAGCAGCAAACCTGGAAGCGGACTGGAAGTACTTTCAGTCCACTTCTGGGTCCTTCAGGGAGTGCGCTGAGGGGCCTCCCCACACCTCCCTGGCTCAGCGACTGGTGACCCAGAAGCGGACTGGAAGCGCTTCTGGTCCACTTCCGGGTCTGTTGCAGAGTGCGCTGGGGAGCCCCCTACACTCCTGTGGGACACTTCATGTGTCCCATCATTGCAGTATTCACAAACCACCTGCTATCTAGAGGTACGTAGAAAAAACATTTAAAACTGTGTCTATGTCCGAATCTCTCCAAATCGATTTGGAGGGTTCCAGTTTGATTTGGAGATTCAGCCACCGAATTGGGCTGAATCTCCGCCAGATCGAATCAGGGACTGAAGCTTTGCACAGCCCTAGTGAATACCAAACCTCTTCCACACAGGCAAGGTGGGTAGTTTCCTGTATGTGCAGGATTAGTTTGCTGTAAGCAAGCATTGGCCAGCTGCAATAGTTGTGGGATGTGGGGGCAGAAATCTATCCTGCTTGCATCTTTTTCTTCATTTAGAGCTGCTGTGGGCATGAGGTAAGCAGGGATGTAATGGATAGCGTTGATGCAGTGTTTCAGCCTTATGAGACTTCATCCCATTTTAAGCTGTTTGTTTTTGTTCTTGATTTCTAAGAATTGGAATGACCTGGAGCACCAAGCCTTTGTGCTGAACCACCTCTTGGATTTGTTGGAACTGCTACTGGATCCAGACCAGCTCACAGCTTCCTCTCACTCCACCCACAGCAGCCTAGTCTCCCTTGAAGCTGTTCGAGCGCTCAGCTTCCTGATAGAGGGGTCTCTGAACAAAGCCAAAACTGTCCACCCCCTGCATGAACTTGCACTCTGGCAGCCCTTTCATGTGAAGAATGGCTATTCCAAGATCTCCAGAACTTTCTCTTTTCCCAAGCTAGAAGGCTGGCTGAGGTCCTGCCTGACTGTGAACCCATTTGGAATGTCTGCCTGCCTCAAGTCTGGGAAAAAATTGGCATGGGCACAGCAAGGTAGCTCTTGGTCTTGGTTTTCTTTTTGGCATTAGGATTAATTTTTGGCTTTTTCTGTGTTGATGTGGGATCTGGCACTTGAGCATGAGCGGACTTGCCTTTCATTTTGTTTATACAGGACGAGGGGGAGTTCACAGTTCCAAGGGTTGGTCACACAAAGTGACTTCACTCCCTCTTACCAAATTATTTCCATCTATTAAACCCTCATTTCTTCTTCTCCAGGTTTGGACTTCCCATCACTGAACAATGTTGATCTCTTAGTATTGCTCAGCCTATATTAGCTGTAGTTAGTATATAAGGTTTCATATTATTACAGATATGTTTTGTAAATTTGGAGAGTTCATTACTTTGTACTGTATTGTAATGCGCATCAAAGCAAAGGATTGATTCAGCAGCTTAAATCAAAGGTCACATGAAATGAATGTGTTAAGGTTCTCTCTACAGTTCTGCTGATAGTATCACTCTTCTTGCTCGGGGAGCAATAGATTAGTGGGTTGATTTTCCAGGTAGTTATTCCAGTGATTGAGACCACATGCATGAAGAATTGATCCTCAGACACCCATAGGCCAGACACTGTAGGTCAGTGTTACTGTCCTTTTTTAAAGATGTAGTCTGAGGCACAGGGTAGGTTAAGTGATTAACCAAGGTCATGCAAGGGAGTCTGTGACAAAGGAAACTGAACAAGCTCTCCAGAGATCTAGCTGGGATGCCTTAACAGCATCCTTTTTGATGCTGCTATATATCAGTCAGGTGTCAAAACAAAGACGAGGGATTTAATTTAACTTGTGCATGTAGGTTTTCTTAGGGGAAGACGGGAAGTTTAAGTGTTTGTCCTCAAGCTCCACGGTAGTAAGAATGGAAGAATTGTGCTAATGGGGAAGATATCTTGAGGGCTGTGCACTTGCAGAGGGTGCTCCAGTGGGTTGGAAAGCTCTGGAATAGACTTATAGGGCCATGTCCTATTCCATCTATTAGAAGTCTATGTGGACTTCGATTCCTAAGAGTGACCTTAGGTCAACCTGCTTCAGTGCTTGCAAAAACAATATTGCATCTGCTTCTGTAACATGCCACCATGTTAGCCTTAGGACTTAGTAACTAAAAGCAGCAAATCGGAGGAAGACGCACCTCACTTGTGCATTTACTAATTTTCCGGGAGACAAGCAGGGTGGAATTGGGTCAAAATTAGGTGCCTAAATAATTTAGGAGCCTAATTAGGTGTAATAGGATCTGGTCCACTATGTCCCTTTAGTGCACTGGTGGAAGTCTGTAAGCTGCTCTAAATCTCAGCTTGGCAGGGAGATCCCTTGTGCTCAGGAAGAACCTTCCTGAGAGTTGAGAGGTAAATAATCTAAAGCACCAGTGCAGTTGGTTTTTGGTGTTCTGTAGCTGCCAGATACTGTGTGGTGGATGATATGGTGTTATGGGCACACCTGTGTAAGAAGAATGTCTAAAGGTCTGTGTTGTGCCTTTTTAAAATTAATTTGTATAACTCTGGTCTTGTAGTTGAAGGAACAACTAAGAGAGCAAAGATTGCCTGCAATGCCCACGTGGTCCCTGAGGCTTACCGCATAGTGGTGATGAGTCAGGTCTACAAGCAGACTTTGGCCAAGAGCTCAGAAACCCTGGAGGGTGCTCATGTAAGGATTCATCGCTGCAATGAGTCCTTCATATATCTGCTGTCTCCTTTACGGTGAGTTTCATTCACCTGGGATGCAGTGAAAAGTTCTGGGTACCTCTGCTGGCACCTGGAACTAGCAAAATTCTTTTACTCTTCCCACTAGACAGAACTGCTGCCAATAGGCTCCAGCCTGTGCATGGTCATCCCAGCTCACTATAGTCTTGCTCTCTCTCTTTTAGGTCTGTGACTATCGAGAAGTGCAGCAATAGCACCTTTATTCTGGGCCCTGTGCAGACAGCCATTCACATCCACAGCTGTGACAATGTTAAAGTCATTGCCGTCTGCCACTGTCTCTCTATCTCATCTACTACTGGCTGCACTTTTCACATCCTTACACCTACACGCCCTCTCATCCTGTTGGGTAACCAAGCAGTAACTTTTGCCCCTTACCATACCCATTACCCGATGCTTGAGGACCACATGGGTCGAACAGGCCTGGCTACAGTGCCTAACTACTGGGACAGTCCCATGCTGGTGTGCAAAGAGAACAGCAATGCAAGTGTCTTCCGGCTCTTACCATCCTCCGAATTTTACACCTTTGTTATTCCTTTCGAGATGGAGGGAGACACAACAGAAACGCCTGGTGGGCTTCCATATGCTTATCAGAAGGCACTGAGACAACGAGAGCAGAAGATTCAGGTTTGGCAGAAAACTGTGAAAGAGGCTGGACTGACCAAGTAAGTATTGGCTTCTTCCAAGAAGGAGAAATGTATGTTTGGGGCTCCGCTTGTCCATGCATGTAGAAATTGGTTTCATTTGACAGTGTTGAACAAAAATGCCCTCTCAAGAAAGTCTTTTGTGCATGTTAGAATGCTAGTGTGTTAGGAGCTATGGGACTTGGGATCCTGCTTTTTAGTACTGCGACTCCTGTTGCCTTTATATATACTTGGGGAGGGGGGAGAAGCAGGCAGCAGGAGTTTCAAAGTATATATAATTTTTTTCTAAATAAATATGCCTGGATTGTAGAGATTTTTCTCCACTTGCCAAAAGCTTGCATAAGTATTATGAAACAAAGCAAAACAACACCATCACCCACTGCGGCCTTCAGTTTATTAAGTATATTAATCTCTTGGATGCAAAAGGGATTGTTCAAACTGAAAAGTATGCAGCTGTAGAACTAAAAAAGCACTAACACAATCAGGGCTCTGGCTAACTGGCTAGACCTCTACCACTTACATCTAGCCTTTTTACATTTTGATATACACATTTGTTCTTCCAGCACTCATTATAAAAGTCTGAATAAGTTAAAATGCCTTCTCTTGATGCTAAAAAGAGCTGAAAAGTAGTGAAGCTCTTTAGTTAGTGGCAGTTCTGAGGTTCGCTGGTTTCTGTCTCATAAGTATGCACTGCACTATTATAATGCAACAACCTGCAGTATAGCCTTATTCGGATACACACCACAGTGGGTAAAACTTGCATCTTAAGAATAGTAGGAAGCAATTTAGCTTCTTTTTGGTTCTGGGTTCTGCTGATAAGTTTTGTGCATGAGTCAAGTTAGCCAGGTCATGGAGAGATCCTGTAGCTTCTTTGTATTCTTTAAATTTCCAGTTGTCAGTCTGGAAATCTAGCTTTAACTAACGAGACTGGATGGATGATACTGACAGTCCACCAGTTCCAACACGTTATGTTGCTTTTATTATTTATCATCTGAAGAGTCCCATGTTGTGCATATTTTGCTTGATCTAAGTAGTCTGTACTATACAAATTCCAAGACACTTGGATGTATTGAAGAGAATCACCTTACAATTTGAGAGTCTTCTGATTCAGGACTTCTGTTGATCTTTATTACACCTGTTTGTCCTGATCATTCAGATTCCTTGTGCCCGAGTGGGTGTCTGTTGAGTAAGGATGGGACTATGGACGTGACCATATCCATAACTCTGGAAATGGCCATTCACTGGAGACCATATATTTAAATCCTGCCTGAATTGCAAAATGACTGAGATGTTCATACTTAAATTCCGTGTGAAGTAGATGTTTGTTAATGCAGGTGCTCTGTTTTTCCATTCTGTTATAACTGCTTGTACTCTCTGCAACATGAGACCAAGCCAGAAGTCAGTCCTAGAGAGCAAAGGCATGGTAACAGCAGTGTGAGGATGTTTACATGACTTTTGCCAGCACTAGCAGTCTGTCTCTTTCAGGAGCATTATAAATAATCAAATTCACTAAATAAAAACTCTTTCTCTTAATATCAGTGGTAGTTCGAGTCCTAAACCCAAACAGAGTCAGTTGTAGTAGGAATTAGTTTATTGCTATTTTCCACTGGGGAGGGCTACTCATTTCAGTTGTTGAGGAGAGAGGCCTAGAAGTGTGGCCCAAAGGCTTGCAAACTGTGTATCACTTGCTACATTGTTCTTGTTCTGGTGGGTTCTAGGAGTCAAAGGAAGCAGTTCCAGGTACTAGTGGAAAACAAGTTCTATGACTGGCTAATTTACACAGGACTTCGTCAGCAACTGGACAGCCTTGTGCCTCCTGCAGCAGGCTCAAAGCAGGCAGCGGGGTAGGATTCTCTTCACTAACAGAAGGGTGAGTATGGGGGCCATTTCTCTCCTGTTCTGTTCTAGGAAAATTTCCCACCCTCTTCTATATACAGCAGTTGCGGGGTGGGGAGGGGGTCCATATCCAGGTGTGAATCAAGAATGTGAAATTGTTCTATGGAGCTGCTCCCAACAGCATCAGATCAAGCTTAAGTTTGGAGCCAAAACTTCCTCTGAATGGCTCTCTGCTGTCTTGTACACCCTAGCTCCCCTGCAGAAGAGCCTACAGGTCTGCTGATGTTACTTACCCATATCCCCATCTACTCACCAGAGCCTTTTGGCGGGGACTTTTTTTCTGATGTTTCAAATAACTTCTACTTAATCTGTTCCCCAAAGTGGTGGTGTAGCACCTGCAGGCACTTGTCCATAACCTATCATCATGGCACATTTTAAACCATAATGAATGATTTTCTAAAGTCACACTGCTCTTGATCTTCACATTGCCTTTTTCTCCTACAAAACTGTGGACCTCATGTAGGGGAAGTGATCAAATCTCTGGAGATTGTGTTTAGGAATAAGCCTTGCTTCTCTGCTTTGTTACAGAGTTCTGAAGACAGATGATGACAAACCACAGTCAGTTCCTAGTGACTGCTTTGGGGCCAGGCTATTTTGTTGCCAATGAATTAGGAAATTCAAAGCCTCCAGCTTCAGTGTGAACTGGCCTCTTTTCCTCGTTAAAAGATCATGGCATCACGTTGCCACCTTCCAGGATTTGGGATATATGAAAAACTTGTTTCATCAACCCAACCCAACTTCTAGGGAAAAACATAAATGAAGGACTGTGTGGTACAAGACAGTGGTAGAGAAGCAAGCCTGAACCTGGCTGTCAGCCCCTTAGGAGGCAGCTGGCAGAATTCAGCAGTCTTGGCCTGAACATATCCAGTAGAGGAGGCAGTTCCTGGTGTGAAGCTGGTTCCATGATTGTGACTTTTGGGAGCACCTTTTTATGGCAGAGCCTGCTATGTTTTTATAAACTTCAGAACAAATGTTTGACTACCCAGCGTGTAAAATTCAGTAGATATATTTTTATATAGAGATGAGTTTAGCAGTTGAACTATGACATTTCATGAAATCTCCTAGATCTCTTTGTTTCCTGCTGTTTTCCACTAAATTTTAATAAATTGAATTCTGAGACAAGCCAAGTATGTTTTTTAAGGAAAAGGTTTAATCTATTAATGGGAACTTAAAGTGACACAGAGCACTGCAGGAGCTGACAGAATGACCAGGCCTGCATTTCATTTGGGGGAAAGTGCTGATTCCCTTAGCTGCAGCTAGTTGGATTTCTCACTTCTCTGAAAGGTCAGCGTGTTTCAGATTATGCTGAATATCATGATAGTTATTTGATTTGAGCAGCACTTACTTTCCTCAGTATTTTAGCTTCTCTCTTTAGCCTCACTGTGAGTAGGCCCCATTCTTGTTTCCTGCTACTGAAGTAGTCATTCTCCAGGAGCCCCTCTTACATCCACATCCTAGGGGCTAATTCAGAGTGGTGAGGTAAAACAGGAGAGCTTTGGTCTGTTTGATTAAATGCAGCCTGATGAGATGTTTAATTTTCCAAATTGCAAACGTGAAACACATCCAAATACAGTGGTCATGAGGAAAATGCCGAGATCAAATTCTCTGGGTGTCTTTTGGGATAGCACTTGAAGTATTCAGCATTTCTAACAGTGTGCAGTAAAGATGTAGCAAGGTGGAGAAAGAATGGGGCATTTGAGAGGCATGCTTGGAGGAGACTAAGGGAATCACAAGGGCAGATGCTCACCAGGTGCAAATTAGTGCAGCTTCATTGACACCATGGTAATTTTCCCCAGCTGGGGATTTAGTCTTCAGTTTTCATTTTATCAGGACCTTCCCTTTAACCAGTGGGAGTTCTGCCTAAACATCAAGGCTGTGTCCACATGAGCATAGATACCTTTCCCTAGGACAAGAAGGAGTGGCGCACCTTGTGCCGCTGCTACTTGTCCCCGGGGTATGCCTGTGTCGTGCACCCTCTGGCATGCAGCAGGCTATCCCAGGTGGCGTAGGTGAGGCTGGGGGCAGCAACTGCGCTGGTCCCAGAAGTCCTACCTGGGATCCTGAGGGTCTTAGGGGAGCTGCAGCCATGGTGCTCCTGCAACTTGGAGCTTGGCCAGCTGCTGAAGTGTGGCTCTGGCCAGCCAGGCTCTGTTGTTGGGTGGTGCATACTGCACCCTTGTTTGCTGCCCTGCTTTTTTTGCATAGGTTTTTTTGAGCCCAGGATCTGCCACAGGTGGGTCTGAGGCACCACGTACTGCATGGCCGCGCTCATCTGGACATGGCCCAAGTGAGTAAAGATGTGGTTTACTGAGGGGCCAAACACACCTGAACCTCTTTCTGAGACCCATGGACACAGGGAGTAATGCAGATAGAGGCATAGAGATTTACCAATCCATCATTTGAATGGGAGATGGGGTATAATGAAAGGGAGTACAGCTGTGGGATTAACCTACCAACCCATCAGACCACCTTTTGTAGGAGCTGGGTCATAAGCAGTATCTTAGGTTCTCCAGAGAACAGCACTTGTATTGTTCCCTATGAGTGGCCTCACACCCTGCTACTAGAAACGATGTGAAAAAAATAGCTCCTGCTTAAAGAAGATTGGGCAAGGTGGGAAATAAATTGCCACTGGGCAGATTTCCAGCCCAACTTATTGGCCTAGGAGGCCTTTACAGTTCTTGGGTTTTGCAGGTGAACAGAATAGCTTGTAGCATATTTGAAAAGAGATGTCTCTTGAAATAATGACTGCATTCAGGTGTTAAATTCACTTGGCTTTGTTTCTCACAGATGTTGGGTCAGTGCAATAATTAGCTGAGGAGGTATTTATAATAGAGTGTATCTTTAAGAGGCACAGATATTTGCAAGCAGTGTTCCTTATTTTTTTCCCCTTCGTGCTGACTTGTAAATGTCTACATAGCCCCAACAAGGTTCTTTGAGTGAATCTGATATCTTTTATTAGACCAACCTTGTCTGCCTATGTCCTTAGCCAGGGACGGGCAATTATTTTGTGCAGAGGGCCACTTACTGAGTTTTGGCAAGCCATCGAGGGCCACATGACGGGCAGCTCAGGGCAGATTAATGTTCATTTTCTAAATTTTTTAGGGGCCCTGTGGGCCGGATAGAATGGCCTGGCGGGCTACATCTGGCCCCCAGGCCGCATTTTGCCCACCCCTGCCTTAGACCAACACGGCTACAACCTACACCCCTGTTACATAGGCCAGTGCATTCAACTTAAGGGTGTCTCTTAAAAGGATGGCATCGTCGTTAAATTGCCAACCTAGGGACTAGATTCTGTGCCACCTAGTAGGGACTCAAATAGACTTGGATACCAAATTATGATCCTATTCTGCTTTGCTTGAGTCCTTGAAAAACTTAATATAAAAGGTAGGTGGCTTCTCCTCCCCTTCACCGCTTGCCGGTGACTTAATCTTAAGACTAAGATGTTACCAAAGTGGTCCCATTAATGTTTTTCAGGGACTTGACCGAACAGTGTGAAATTAGGATCACACTTAGGTGCCTACGTCCACTTGATGAAACAGGATTTGGTCCTAGGTGTCAAGAAAATTCCTGATTCCAATAGGTGTCCAGGGTACCCTTGGCCATGTCGCTTCATCCTGGAGATGAAGCTGCCTCCTTGGAAGGTGCTAGAGAAATGCATGGTATTCCCGCAGCACGAATAATTCCCACTGGAAGCTTTTGAGTGCTGGCCTGTCAGAGAGGCCAACCTCTCCAAACTCTCTTCCTGTCCTCTGCAGGAGGATATGTGTTTGTGCTTGCATGTAGGGGACCCGCCCTTACAAATCAGTGCAGGAGTTCAAAACCTTTACAACAGCTGACTAGAATCGATCCCTTTTAGCGTGCTCCAATGGGAGATCGAAGACAAATTGTCACATTCCTGAGGGCTGGGTACTCTTTGTTGTTAACGTTTTTGGCAGAGTTTTGGCGCTCTGACTCAGCGAAGCACTCAGCGCAAACAGTGCAATGGTAACAAATAAAGTGGACAGTGAAGCTTCCCTTTATTTCGTAATCCTGTTTGCTGTTCTAGAAACGGCCAATAGTTTCAGAATCACTGACTCAATTTTTGGATCCCATTCTCATGACAAAGCGACTGTCTGGTTTATAACAAGTCTGTTATAAAAAGGGGGCCTCCGCTTCTGGCTCTGCGTAGCGGCTCCTGTGATTCCTTCAGCATCTGGGGAGCTGCACTAAAATCAAAAATGTCCAAAACTGGAACCAAGGTATGTTTGCTAGAATAATTTGCTTCCAGACATTACAAACTTGAAAGAGGTGGAGCATAATAAGCAGCTCTCGTTTGCAGATGTGGGAGAAATGTAGACGGAGCCTAGGGCTAACGCAGTAGATTTTCATAGGAGCAGGAGAAGCTAGGAAGGAGTTCAAACCAGCGGACAAATGCTTGTATTTCAAGAACAGCAGTGGCTTTCCCTCTCTGTCACTCAGCTTTTCAAACCAAACTTGGTCAAACAGAGAAAATGACAGGGCTGTACTGTTGACAAAGTGCATCTCCTGTACCTTGAATATTTGACATCAGAGAAGCTGCTCTCAGGTGAGTAGAATCTTGCCTCATGCTCCCCTTGGTGACTGCGAGTGGCGGGTGCCAGTGTCAACCTGGAAGCCAACAATTGAAACTATAGCACTGGACTTCTTAAAGTTAAGAGCAGCATGCTCTCTAACTCCAGTGGGGAGGTAAGAGTGTGCCTGATGGTTTGGACACCTGGGTTATCTTCTTTGGCTCTGGCTCTGCCTCACTGGATAAGGACTAGTCATGTAGAACCTCTTGCGACTACTGTTGAGCTGTTTCTTATACATGTTTTTCTTATACGTGTCTTTCTTTATGTAAGAGACATAATGTGAATTACCATGCAAGTATGCACTGATGCAAGGCATGATGTTTGTATTATCGGCTCCTCTTTTTGAGTCTTGGCACAGTACAAGTGTGATGCACAGACCTCTAAGCCCCGATCCTGGAAGAACCTGTAGAACACATTTTAGGATTGGGGCCTCAAAGTGGGGCAAGAAGTTTGGTCTGAGAGCAGGGAGGAACTCCCTTCTATTGACAAGGGAATAACTATAGTGTCTGGCCAGAAGAGCATTGCTTTATTAGATGTAAGTGTGGCACTATGTATGACAAACAGCAGGGGTGGAGGGCCAGTGCCGACAGATGGGACAGTACTTGCCTATGCAAAGAACAAATGTTTCCTTGCTGCCTCATTAACCTATTTTCTCACTGCTTGTTTTCATCTTAAATTCCCCAGTAGTCGCATATACTGCATGGTGCCTGTTCCCATTTCTTGAGTCATGGTACCATGTTGTCATGTCTTGTCTTTGTCCATTAAAATACTATATTTTAGTAAAGTGAAATTTGTGAATTGTGCTCAGTTTCCTTGCTCCGTCATCAGTTTACATTAATGACTCTTGATTTGTCTGGTTAGACAGACTGAACAAGTGATTTTTTTTTTTTTTTTTTTCTCCTTATGGCCATTTCCCTACCATCCTTCAAATACAAAGACAAGAACACCTTAAAGTTGTACCCGCAGGAAATGAGTGGACTTAAAGGGCAGCATGTTTTATTCTGAGAGAAAGAGAATGCTTTTGGGAACCTATAAGGAATATCCTTTTCCCAAACCCAATTTCCTACTTGTTTCACCCTGGCTTACAAAGGGAAAGTTCTTTTCATGTAGACTTGCACCCACTTCAGGCTGGGAACAGAAGTTCACATGTATTTCTTCTCAGTCTTATTGCAAGCAAAGTGGTTCAAGTATAAGTTCAAATTTCCCCCTCAAAAGCTAAGTTTGGGGGGTCTAAATTACATTAGTCTCCTTTAGTCGTCATATTTAGAGTTGCCTACTTATGTATAGGCAGTACTTGGGAAGTTATGGTCTTGTAAAAATACTGTGGTTTTGAGTAATGATTCTTCCCCCAGTTATGTACATTCCTCCCTGCACACACACTTGCACATTGACTCTTAGCACTTCTCCTACAGTAACTGTTGGTTGGGTGCCTCTCTTCCAACAACTGTTGACTGAGAATATTGACTACACACACGTGTGTGTATTGACTCTTAGTGCATCTCTTCCAATGACCATTGACTTTGCCTTGGTTGGGTTTCAGGTCACCTTCTATGAAGACAAGAACTTCCAGGGCCGTCGCTATGAGTGTGAGAGCGACTGCTCTGATTTCCACACCTACTTGAGCCGCTGCAACTCCATCCGAGTTCAAGGAGGTGCCTGGGTGGTTTACGAGAGGCCTAACTTTTCAGGGAACACCTATGTTCTGACCCCAGGAGAGTATCCAGACTACCAACATTGGATGGGTCTCAATGACCGTCTCAGCTCCTGCAAGGCCATTCAGATAGTAAGTGTGTCCTTCTCTTCCTCTGTCTACTCATCCATGATGAAGTGTGTATATTGTGGTAAATTTGCTGCTCTTTCATAATCCAAAGGCTGGTGTGTTTCCAGATATGGGTAAGGATCAGGTGAGAATCAGAGACCATTTACTTTTTGCCTTCCACCTCCTCAGAAGGTTGAAATCTGAGGTGTATGTGGACAACCACAAAAGCCCCAGGAAATTGAGCAATATAACCTTTAAAGCAAAGATGCTGAGATTTCCATGCTCCCCTCCCCAACCCTTGGTGGGGATCTCTCTCAATAATGCCACAAATACTTGTAGCTTCCACATCCCTGCCATGGTGCCAACATGGCCCTGCAATGTGGTAAGAAGCTTGATGTCAACAGCTGAAGAAGAGAAAGCTTTTCCTACTGATTTCAGTGGGAAAGACAGTTTGCTTTTACCAGCCTGCAGGTAAGTTTCAGTGGCAGAGGTGTCACAAGCAGGTTCTGTGCCCTGGGTGATGGCAGTGGTAGTGCCTGCTGTTCTTGCATCCCCTTGAAGTCAGTGCCTTAGAGCCAGTCCTACTTATGGTACTGTTCAGTGGCTACATTGACAAGATTGGGGTGTAGGTGTAATTTTGTTTGCAAGCAACTAGTTTGTTGTCTAGGTAGCTGGGGTTCAGAATTCATGCATGGGGGTGGTTGCCTTTCCAGTGCTTCCCTTAGTTTGCTCCTCTCTGGTCCCTATTTCCCTTTTTCTTTTGCTGTCAGACGCAGGACTTCGAAGTGGCTGGTATCTGCACTGGATGGGATTTTTCAAGTGCACCTCAGTGAGTTAGAAGCCCAGTGGAAGTCAAAGGGACTGGTATTTGTAGTTCACTTGCTTCTAACAATCTCCCCCTTCTCACTTAGAATCATAGAAAATGAGGGTCGGAAGGGACCTTAGGAGGTCACATCTAGTCCAACCCCTGCTCAAAGCAGGACCAGCCCCAACTAGGTCATCCCAGCCAAAACTTTGTCTAGCCGGGTCTTGAACACCGCCAAGGATGGCGACTCCACCTCTCTGGGTAATCTGTTCCAGTGTTTTACTACCCTCCTAATAAGAGAATGTTTCCTAATATCTAACCGAAACTTCCCTTGCTGCAACTTGAGACTGTTGCTACGTGGACAAATCTGAGTGTGTCTGAGCCTCTGCAGCTTGTTTCCTGTATGGCTCCCTGCTGGCACCAGCTTTCCAGTTATTTTCTAGTTCTTTGCGACACTGACATGACAGAGAAGAGCAGACTGGCAGAGGGCACCCCCTCCCTGACCCTAGAGGTGAGGTGCATTCTGGCAGTGAGGGGGATGCAGATGCCTAATTTTATGCACAGGTCATAGACCCCTATCTGCTTAATTAAAGAAAAGAGTTGATTTAAAACAAACCCATTTCCCCCTGCTCCCTCATTTTAAATGCATTTTGCTGCCAGAGGGAGGGTCTGGACTGCTTTTCCCACTGAGTCAACTGGGAAGGGATTCTGTTCGCCTCCATCAAACCTTTGACTTCTTCAGTGAGCAGCCTGCCTCCTGAAAGGACTGCATGTTGTCTGTAGCAGTAGGGAAGGGGAGCTTGGTGAAGCTGAAAATATTTGCCGGTTCCATGTCACTGCCCAACAAGTCTTTTCCACACCACACTGTAGCAACATAAAGGAGGTGGCAACTCAGAGGGCCATCTTGGCCAGTGTAGAGCTTGTGGGGGGACACTTCTCTGCTTCTAAGGGTCTGTAAAGGACCACAGAGACTAGAACCCTGAGGCTGTTCTAGCTTTTATAGTCAAGCTCAGATATGCTCCAGCTGTTCCAGCATACAGAAGGTAGAAAGAGCATTTCCAAGCCTCTGTCATCCAGGCACCAGCCCCATGAGCAGAAACTGCATAGTGAGGAGCTGATGCAAGATTTGAGTCTGCTGTGTTCATGCATCCTTCTCTCTGAGCTTTTCAATAGCTCCTAGAACAGCCACCACTGTAAATCACTGTGACCACAGGGCCTGGCCTTGGGTATGCTGGGTGAGCATCTGCTCACCTGCCCACCTGCTCTGTTGGACGAACAGACATCTACTGCAGCCTCCTCTTGGACATGCACACCCTACTCTCCACCCTTGGTATATGGCAAGGAATCATCTGAGGAGCAGCAAACCCTGGATCTTGATGAAGAGGAAAGGGCTGCCATGTTATCACGACATCAGGAGGAAGCAGTTACTTGTGTGCTGAACAAGGACCACCTATTGCCGTGACTGAACTATGAAGCTTTTAACTGCAGTTAGCTTTAACGAGCACATCTCCACCTCCTCCATAGTGAGCACTGCCTAGATGTGGGCCCTTCCTACTCACCATACAGCAAAGACTGGAAACCAGGCAGTGTGGCCAGTGAGCATGTGTCAAGAAATACCTCAGAGATGGGGAGCCTTAGTGTAGCTCTGGGCTGTGCTAAATTGGTTACATGGCCTAATTTCACAGGAGCAGTGAACAGAACCAAGTTAGTGGGGCTCACCACTTCTCCTAGGCACTCCCAGGCTCATCATGGAGGCAATGTATATGTGCCCAATGTGACTGCATAAATTGGGAGTAGCTGAGGCACAGGTGAATCGAAAATACAGGACAGATCTCATTTCCAGAAGGCGAAACTTCTGTTGCTGGGAAAATGATGCCCCTTTGCATATTTGTTACTTGGAAAAAGATTTTTTTCTTTAATATGAGCAAATGCTGCTTAGAAGATCTGCACTCAGTCTGGGCCAGGCTCTATCAGACACTGAATAAAGGGCATCCTAGAAAAGGCAGGTCATTCCAGTGGGCGTTTCTCAGTCTCATACTGGAGGCAATCGTTTTGCTTCAAAGCAACACATTTAGCAATGGAGGTGGAGAATGGAAGAGACGGTTCTTTTGGTGAGGAGAGCAGGGCTTTGTGATGCTGACTATCCTGGACAGCCATGGCTGGAGACAACTGCATGCGACTGACAAAGCCTCTCTGGCACCGAAACCTGAGGTTGCTTGAACCAGGGCTTAGCTCTTCTAAAACAGTAGGATTACACACTTTTAGGGATGCATTTAGTTTCCTTTTCTGACTGTTAACTTAGTCAGCTGGGTTAATTCTCTCCCTTTTTCCTCCCACAATGCCAAAGCCATGGCTGATCACAGGGAAGTGGCTGCCTCCAGCTGTGATAAACACTTGGAAGAAACATCCATCAGCAGCATTTGGTTAAGGGGCCATGCAGGTGTGGGGGGAGCTATGGGGCTTGAGGCAGAAGAGTATCCAAGAGGATGGTGAAGTGCTCTGTTCCCATGGAACAGGCCATGTACCAGTCCAACAGGGAACAGCGGCGGTCAGCAAGGAGAGGGACCTGTCCCCAGGCTTGGGTTCTGGGAGTGGAGGGGCTGCACAAGAAGCTAAGGATTACAACTTGCATAGCAATTAAGGCTGTTTAAAGCAGCCGAAGCACATATAATGTGTTAAGCATGTAACAGCCAGCCGCTGTCACTAGCTTATTTACCCCTTCCTACCCTGGGGGATTCTGCAGCTCCACCCCAGAGACTTAGTTTCAGCATGCAAATAGTTAAAGCTGTCCCCCTCCCCAACCAAGGAGATTGGCTTCCATCTCAGGACACTGTAGTCATCCTCATCACCACTCCTAGCCTTCACATCCTGCAGCCCCCCCTGAAGCTAGCTGTGGGACTGGGATCGTTCAGCTGTTGTCTGCCCTCTTCTTCACGTGGTCATTTGCATTCGTGGACGAGCCCATTGCTACCAGGTCAGGATGGCAGCATCTGACACCACATTTGTATGGGGATCAGTGTCTACCCGAGGTACCGAGCAGGGGCTCATCTCAGACTGAATCTTCAGGGGACCTGCCTTCACCTTCACACCTCTGTGTAGTGACAGAGACAGAAGATCCCAGAGGAGAAGGCCCTCTGTGGTGGTAGAGGTCTTGTTCTGCAGACCACAGCTGCTGAGGGCTCACCAGGGTCTGGGGTCCCCTTCATTGGGTCCCAGTACTTCAGGCAATTCTCCTCTTCCATGTCCCTTGGAGGGGTCTGTTAGGGTCTCTATAGTTAACTCTCAGCACAGGGGCATGTTGTTTCCCATAAATTAACTTACAGTCATGCTAAGGCCATTGGACTTTCCATTTTCCTTTTACAGTCCTGGAAGCTACTTATTTCCCCTTTATTCCCAAGTAAAAGCGTTTGGCATGAAGCTGTGAAAACATGTCCTGCCTTCTCTCTGTTGTCACAGCATCCATTAAATTGTACAATTCATGGTACTCAGACAGTGCCATCACAACCAAAGCTGAGTTCTCCATAGTCAGTGGCATTCAGTTCAGGCTGTCCAAAGCTGCTGAGACTTTTAGAAGAGATGGGAAACTTCCTGGTTCAGTTCCCTAATTTCTAGCCATTAGGGATTAGCATTATTAGTCATGTCTCCCGTTGAGGGAGTGTGGTTTTTATGTGACTGGCCACTGTTGGAGACCAGATATGGAGCCAGCTGGACTCAGGTCTCATCCAGTCTGACCATTTCTCTGCTCTGGTGTGTGGCGAGGGGAGAATGAGCCTAGTGTGCCCTAGAGCTGCCTTGCATTACCCAGCTGTCCTCTCAGTGCTTTGTGATTTTCCCCCCACTTCTCTCTCTCTCTCTTTTTCTCTCTCCTGTTGCAGCCCAGTGGAGGCCAGAGCCAGATCCAGATTTTTGAGAAGGGAGACTTTGGTGGGCAGATGTTTGAATCTACTGAAGACTGCTCTTCCGTCATGGATGAGTTCCACATGCGGGAAATCCATGCGTGCAAAGTGCTGGGGGGCGTCTGGGTCTTCTACGAGCACCCCAACTTCCGTGGCAGGCAGTACCTCCTGGAGAAAGGCGAGTACCGCAAACCTGTGGAATGGGGAGCCGTGTCCCCTGCTGTCCAGTCCTTCCGTTGCATTGTGGAGTGAAGGGCAGAGGAGCTTCTCTGTGGGGGCCAGCACCCCAGTGTGCTAGGAATGCTGCTTGGAGGCCATGAATAAAGCATTTGGTTGACTCTGTGCTGCCTGGCCTGCTTCTTTCTGGTCGCTGTGCCTGGCACCTGCGATGGGTGCACATTCTGTCTGCCACAACCTGCAGGCTGAGACTTTCTACTTAGCCCCTTGTAGCCTGTCGGCACCAAACACCCCGACCCTCAGTCTGCCCTGACCCTAGGGTGCTGCTTGACCTATGCATTGTGCTTCTAGAAGGAAGCACCATCTCCCCAGACAAGCTATGTTCCCCTGTGTGCATCTAATGTTTCTCACTGTTTCCTCCTGGGCTCCCTACCCATTGTGCCCACCTCCCCTGCTTCCCCCCAGCAAACAACAGGCAAAGCCCCAAACACAGTCCAGAGACAGCAGCAATAGGTGGGACTTGTGGTACAGCTCAGCATTGTCAAACCATGGTTCCCCAGCAGCCAAGGGGCCTCAGGAGGTTTCAGACCCAGCTTGCCTGGGTACAGTGGAGTCTTTGCTTCTCCCCCCACCCCATCTTGGGAGCCAGTGCCCCAGGAAATGCCTTGGTAGTGATCCCAGCATCTAGCAGTTTCTCCCAAATAAGCTACTGCTTCCCTTTAAGCAGCTTTGCAGTGGCTCTGTCCCTTCTCAATGGCAGCCATGCATTCTTTTGCTTTACGTGTGACAGATTCAGGTGTTAGGTCTGTGTTGTATTAGGGTTGAGGGTCTTGTGTAGAGTTTGGATGGGGCCTTAGGCGGGGGGTGGGGGGGGTTGGACTAGATGTCACCTCTGCAGGTCCCTTCCAGCCTGACCTCTGTGACTGACTCATCTCAGTCCTCTGCCTGGCTGAGATAGCTGGGAGCAGTGCCATGGAGAGGAGAGGACAGTTCATCCCCTGGACCTGAAGGGTTTTACAGTTGCCCATCTACTGCTCATGGCTTGACCTGTTACAAGCACAGGCACCCTTGTGCAGTCACTTGCCTACCTATCCCTACTCTTCTGGCATTACGTGTCCAAGAGCAGGGTGAGCCTCCAGCTCCTATCTCTCTCTGTGCTGTGAAGGAAAGGAGGCATTTACTGCTGAGAGAGAGCGTGCACGGAAGAAGATCCCAGTGGAGAAGGCCCTTTGTGGTGGTAGAGGCCTTGTTCTGCAGACCACAGCTGCTGAGGGCTCACCAGGGTCTGGGGTCCCCTTCATTGGTTCCCAGTGCTTCAGGCAATTCTCCACTTCCATGTCACTTGGAGGGGTCTGTTAGGGTCTCTATAGTTAACTCCTTGCCCCAACCATCTGACCCGACTGGTCTGAAGTGATCCCCAGCCAGCAGTTCTAGAGGCTGCTGCTAAATGTCATACCATATCTTAAAGGTGTGTGCTTTCAACCCATGGACTGGGCTGCCCAAGGAAGGAACCACTGGCCACAGGGATTTTATGAGGACATCCTGCATGCAAAGAGCTACCCTAGATGTGGGAATGAGCATTGACTGGAAACCTACTAAGGGGGAGAGCTTGCACCTGAAAAGCCTTCGTGTTTGTCTTCCAGGTCTTTGAACAGCCATCTCCACCACCAGGCCCCAGACAGTAGTGGCAGCAGTTCAAAGGCAGAGGGTTGATCAGAGGGAAAAGATATATGGGAGGTATTCTTGCTGTCTCTGCAAGGTACTCTGGGGAGCCAGAGGTGTGGGGACCAGGAGTACTCTGGGAGCAGCAGAGAGGGAGAGATCCCCATAAGGGAAGGAGAGATGCAGATGCATGTTCTAGCCGTGAAGCCAGCTATGCTTTTTATTTAACAACTCAGTGTTTGAGGCACCACATTGTGACACTACTAAAGTTTTTTTTGGCCGAAATGTTCAGATGGGGGCTGGGCCCTCTGTTTTCTGTGTGCCCTGAGGAATGACCTTTACCAGCAGTGTCAATTAGTGTAAGAGGAAAGGACAGATGAGAGCCGGGGAGAAGAGCAGGGTGGCACTGGGGATGTATGGACACTGGTGATGGTGAGAAATGGATGATCATGAGGAAAGAGGGAGTATGTCAGGAAGGGGGGATAAAAAATCAGGGACAGAAAGGAGAGAGAGAGAAAGCAGATTAGAGGTAAAAGAGGAAAAAATAAAGGACTGATGAAAATGAACTCAAGTGGCCTGGTGGAAGTAGGGTTCTAGCCACCTGGAGCTGTGGGCAGGGTCAAAGCATAGGCAACTGAATCCTTTTTGCGTCTTATTTGGGTGCCACAAGTGAAGCCAGGGCTCTGCCCCGGGGCGGGGAGCGATTCCTGTCCCAAGACGCTTCCTGAAACCTGTACTTCCAGTGGGAGTCCTACACCTGCACGGACAACAGCTGTGCTTACCCCTCTGACCTCAGTGGGCCTTATTGCACCAACAGCATCACTCATGCTTGGAAACTGGTGTATTCAAGAGGTCAGCGTTGTGACAGAGTAAGTCCTGCATGGTGTCTGGGAAGTTTGTTGGCAACCCAAGAGACAGCCTGGCTAGGG